GGAAAATGAAGATAAGCAAAAGAAAACTAAGACACCTAAGATATCACTTGCCACCCTCCACCCCAAACCAGCATTAATATTTTGATGTTTTTTTCCTAAGTTGTTCATTGCATTGGTATTTTAAAAATATGGTTGTAATCATACATCACATTAAATTTTACTTTCTATTTTTTTCACTTGTGATGTTGTAGGGGAAGGGAAATAATCTTTATACATTTCTAGGTCCTGTGGCTGAGACCCTCCACCTCTCATACCAAAAGATTAACAAGAGAAAACAAATAGAAGTTTAATTAAGTATATACCTCCTGTATACAGGGGAAATACTCAGGAAACTGAACAAAACTTCCCCAAATGGCCCAAGTCACCTTAAACACCATCTTCAACTAAAGGCAAAAGAAAAATGTTTTGAGGGGGAAGGAAGCCCTTTATGGAAAATTAGCAGTGAAAGTACAGTAAAGGGTATGATTGTCATGTAGATTTAAGTTGATGCCTCCTCTGCTGATAAGATTCTTTTGTAATTCAGAGTCATACTTCTCTTTCATTCTCATTCATACTATACTTTCTGATATAGGAGGGAGACACCTGTACATATGGAGATTTCCTTTATAGATGTAATTGTCCCTTACAAGGACAAAAGATCTCTGTCTGCTGTTTCTTAAAAATAGTCAGCTCAGGGGTGCCTGGGTGGCTCAGTCAGTTCAGCGTCTGACTTTGGCTCATGTCATGATCTTGCGGTTTGTGGGCTCGAGCCTCGCATCAGGCTCTGTGCTGACAGCTTAGAACCTGGAGCTTGCTTCGGATTCTGTCTCCCTCTCTTTCTGCCCCTCCCTCACTTGTGCTCTGTCTCTGTCTCGCTCTCAAAAATAAGTAAATATTTTAAAAAATTGACTGTGTATGTGACCTTAGACAGTCTACTTAAGAAAATAATCAGCTCAAAATAATCCTTATGCTCAAGAAGCATAGTTTGAGATGGCACATTCAACTGCCTTTCAAAGTCAATATTTTCTAGTTTTATAGCCCATAATTCCTAATGTTTCTGTTCACTAACCACTAACCCTGTGGTTAGACTCTTAGGTAGTTTCCAGAAATTCACTATAATAAATGACAAAATAATGCATACTTTTGTATATAAATCTCACAGTGTCTTTTTGAGACAAGATGATTCTCAATCCCATTCTTGCCCAGGAAACTTTTTTTTTTTAAAGTTTATTTTGGGGGAGGGAGAGACAGAGAGAGAGTGTGCATGCTTGAGCAGGGGAGAGGCAGATAGAGAAGGGAGAGAGAATCCCAAGTAGGCTCTGCACCGTCAGCATGGAGCCACCATGGGTGCATGCATTCGTGAATTGTGAGGTCATGACCTGGGCCAAAATGAAGAGTCCAACACTTAACCGACTGAACCACGCAGGTGCCTCAGGAAGCATTGTTTTCAAGTTCCTTCAACACTTGGGGGAAAATAAATTTCCATTTCCCCCATCTCTTCCTGCCCCCTTTGCTGTAAACCAGTGTTGAAATAAACTTCTAGGTTCAAGATGGACCACTTTTGTCCAAGGCACAATGTAATCAAATCAAAACTTGAATAACTTTTGTGTTATCCAGATGCTCTACTTGATCAGAAACCCAGTGGCATTTCCAGTCAATCAACCTCTAAATGCCAAGCCAACCTGGGACCTTCTCATTCCAAACAAGGCTGGCTGTGTGGCTCTAGTCAGTCAGATATTTTCTATTTTTCTTTTTCTTGTTCTTTATTCTTTATCTTATAAAGACTTCCTGCCTTCTATCCCATTTTGCAGTCCTCTGAATGGAGATTGCCCACTTCATAAAGTGTTTAATAAAGTTTGTTTGTATTACCTACTTTTTGTTAATTTTTAAAAAAAAATTTTTTTTAATGTTTTATTTATTTTTAGGAGAGAGAGAGAGACAGCGTGAGCAGGGGAGGGTCAGAGAGAGAGGGAGTCACAGGCTGAAACAGGCTCCAGGCTCTGAGCTGGCAGTCAGCACAGAGCCCGATGCGGGGCTCGAACCCACGAACTGCGAGATCATGACCTAAGCGAAAGTCGGACGCTTAACCAACTAAGCCACCCAGGCGCCCCTTGTTAATTATTTTTTAACACCAATGATGGGAAGCAGAATATGCCACCTCAAAATGTATTACTTTGGCATGTGGATTATTTTGAACTGTCATCAATCAAGACCCAGAAGGCTCGGTAAAACCTTTTTGCTACTCCATTAATTACCTAATAGAATTTAGAAAGGGGGTCTGTACCAGAAAGAGACCCACTCTCAGAGGTAATGTTTTCATCTGAGAGATTTATCGACATGGCAGGGCAAACATTGTGTACAAACATCTTCTCACCCTCTTGTGAAGCACCTTTCTCCCCTTTGAAGCCCTAGGCCCCTTACCCCTTTCCTTAGCTCAGGATAGTATTAAAGCCTCAATTATATGACTTCTTGGGTCTCATATTTTGAACCAATGAAACCAATTTTTTTTTTGCCTGTTTGTCCTGTCAATCTAGTTATACCAACCAAAGAACCTAGAAAGGAAGAAGAGAAAATTTCTCTTCCCCTACACCAGACACCTCTCTTTTAAGGGCTGAGCCTCCATTTTAATGCTTCTGTGTCTTATCTAAGTTGACTTGCAGGAACTTAACTGTTGTTGTTTTTTTTCTGTATCATTCACTTCCCAAGCACCATGAGCCATATCTGAATCATGTACTACATACCATGCACTTAACACTGGTTTCATATAATCTCGCACAGCAAGCCCTATAATGGTTTTAGAAATAAGAAAATCGAAGTATGAAATAAGAAATAAGAAAATAGTCTTTGGCAAAGGTCACTCTGCTAGTAAGGGGTTTTGACCCCACACTGCTTATCTCCAAAGCTATGCCCTTTCCTCCATGCTATATTTGGGAAGAGGGGGATCCACTCCTCTCTAGCTTTTTAAAAAAAATTTTTAATGTTTATTTCTTTCTGTGTGTGTGTGTGAGAGAGAGAGAGACAGAGACAGAGAGACAGAGAGAGAGAGAGAGAGAGAGGGTGAGTGGGGGAGGGACAGAGAGAGAGGGAGACACAGAATCTGAAGCAGGTTCCTGGCTCCGAGCTGTCAGCACACAGCCTGACCTGGGGTTCAAACACACGAACTGTGAGATCATGACCTGAGCTGAAGTCAGACACTTAATTGACAGCCATCCAGGCACTGACAACCCGCTCTAGCTTTGAGCCCCTATCTTCTTCATCCTCTGTGGTGGATGATGGGTGGTGGAGTGGGCACTGCTTTTTTTTTCTAGCTTTGGTTGCATACTGAAGTCTCTCTGCCTCAGTTTCAACATTTGTAGAGTGGACACAAGTATCGAGACCAGCTTGCCCCATAGGAGTCACATGAGGACCTATAGGATAAAACTTTAGTTTACATGAAATCAACTGGCCCCTTGCAAGAAATTGTAGGATGTGGATGGGGGTGGGAGAGCGGTGTCTTAAAAATCTCACCTGTTGTTGGGATGTTCATCTTATTCAGGAAATCCTTACGCTCCTAGCCAATTATGTCTTGTTTCCATGTTACCACTTCTAATGCCTTATAAAACTTGATCTTGTCCCAAGTCTCTTGAGAAGAATCTCCACTGCTTGTGAGTCACTGTGCTCCCCCAACCCATGGGTTGCTCTCTCTTTTTTTTTTTTTATATTTTTATTTATTTCTAGGAGAGAGAGAGACAGCGTGAGCAGGGGAGGGTCAGAGAGAGAGGGAGATACAGACTCTGAAACAGGCTCCAGGTTCTGAGCTGGCAGTCAGCACAGAGCCCGACGCGGGGCCCGAACCCACTAACCGCGAGATCATGACCTAAGCGAAAGTCGGACCCTTAACTGACTAAGCCACCCAGGCGCCCCTGGATTGCTCTCTTTTGAATAAAAGACATCAAACAAAACTGTTCTAGTTTTGTCATTTGACAGTTCATGCCCCTCAGACTTGGGACATCAGATCCTTTCCCACCATTTTCATTCAAGATGTGTCCATAAATATATCAAAAGCAACTGTCCTCCTCCCCATGTTTTTCATTTCATTAAAAAGTAAACTCTATGAGGCACAGGGATTATGTCTATTTTATTTGCCAGATTGACCTGGCAGAGATTCTCAATAAATATGAATTGAATGAATTATGCAACTTTAAATATTTATACATGATCACCTCTAGTTCCACATCTTTTATAATAGATTCAAAATGTGTCTTCAGGTTCAGTTTCTCCATTGAGATGGGCTTTTGTATATCCCTAAGGCCCGACCTTCTCCCTTATAGCACAGAGGGTAAATGAAGCTGAGGCAGTAGTCCTAGCTTTCAGTCCAGGCACACATTAGAATTTCCATCCATCCAAAGCCAGTCTTCTGCCTGGCTTCTCTGTCCTTGTGTACTCTGACTCCCAAGTCCTGTGGATCCACATTTGACTCTCTGGTTATTGGGAATTTGTGATCAGATCTGCTGCTAATGCCCACAGAAGTCATTCATGAGGAACCAATTTCATGAGGGCAGAGAGCACACCTGACCAAAATCAGTGTAAGCTCAGCACAGTGCCAGGAACATAGTTAATGAGTTGGTTAATGAATCTGTTTCTGGCTACTACATCTGCATCTTCTAGAAATGTCTGCCATTTCTATCTTCTTGCCCTTTTGGCAGGCAGACTCTAGGTCTACTCTTGACCTCCAAGCCCCAGAATGGGAGCTGTCATTCTTATGATGGACACTGCATTTACATTTCAGTGGAGACACTTCTAAGCCCCTTGCTTGATGTTGGCTGATAAACTCACCATCACATTTCCAGGAAGGGATGGTTACACATTTATGGTTTGAAGAGGTTTCTCAGGAGTGGATGGAATTAGGAACTCAAATCTGAAGGACTTCACATCTGAAGATAGTCACTCTGGAAGGAAGTCAGTGATTCATTCTTCCTTGATATTTCTAGTCAAGTCAGTGACTCTTTTTCTTTTTACTATTTTCTTTTCTTTTTTTTTTATGGTGAAAAAGTTCATATTTGGATTTAGCCAGCTAGACTTAGTTCAGACAATCCTAATTTTGTTGGCAACATCCAAAGCATCACAATTGGAGCCAGTTGAACATACGCTTTCTTTTCTCCATCGGGCCTGATCAGAGTGTTGACCTTGGCCACGTCAATGTCATAGAGCTTCTTCACAGCATATTTGATCTGGTGCTTCTTGGCCCTGACATCTACAATGAACACAAATGTCTTGTTGTCTTCTATCTTCTTCTTCATGGCTGACTTGGTAGTCAGAGGAAACTTGATGATGGCATAGTGGTCAAGCTTCTTTCTCTGGGGGTGTGCTCTTTGGAGGATATTTGGATTGCCTTTGGAGATGCAGTGTCTTGGGCCGTCAGAATGTAGGTGAGGTGAGGATCTTCTTTTTTTCTTTTTATGACCCTGGACGCCTTTCAGCACTGCTTTATTGGTCTTCAAAGCCTTTGCTTTGGCTTCGGCTTTGGGAGGGTGCAGGGGCTACCTTTTTTGCCTTCGGCGACATCTTCGTGAGGCAGAAGTGATGCACTGCTGTTTAGTTGATAATCTCATATGTAAATAATGTTGGTGCGTCTGGTGATGTGGGAGCAGAGTGGGGCTTCTCCATCTGTTAGGCAGATATAAAGATCAGAGTGCTGGAGATGGGAGGGCTCTGGATCCCACCAGAAGATCCCCTGCCATCCCAGACATCCTTCCTTGCCAAGGTCACCCAACTCAATCCTCCCTTTGCAGAGAAACTATTACTTAAGTTCCAACCACATTTATCTTGTTGAATGCTTAATGAACTGAATTTTACTTCCAGTAATTCTATTGCTTTCCAAAGTAAAGTGCTAAGCAAAGTGCTTTGCTCATCCTCATCTTTTCTGATTTGGTTGGGAGGGGAGACAGGACCGTATCACTGCTTCTGCCAAGTGTGATTTGTGGAGGAATAAGCTTTAAAGCTTAGCACGTGAGTAGTTTGACTGGGGAGAGGGTACAAACACGATGCAACATAGCTAGACCAAAGAAAAGCAGCAGAAATTTCTCTTGTCTCCAGCTTACTCGTGGCTCAGCAGCAAGCTGGCATTGACTCTTCAGCTCTCTGAGGCATGGCCCAAGCCATGGACCTCTTTTAATCCAAATCCTCAGCATCCTGCTGGTTTTCCCTAGTATTCTTCCCTAGGCCCTCTCTCCCTCTCTATTTGTTCCATATTACCCCATTCAACTCCTAAAACAGAATTCTCATTTATTCTGTATATTCTTGTGTACCTTCAGCAAAGAGAATGGAAACATACTGGAAAAACTTTTAATACCAGAGAATATAAGACAAGACCCAAGACCAAGACATTTTAACTAAGCTTGAACCAGGAAAAAGGATGAGGCAAGTAAGGTGAATCTCAGCTCTTAAGATTCTTACCTTTTGAGGTATTTGCACTGAGGAATAAAATGTTTTTTCTGGATTTTCCTCTGGAATAGTTTTCTATTAAAAAAAAAAGAAATAATAAGGCCCAAGACATTTTTAGCTGAGCTTGAACCAGGAAAAAGGATGAGACAAGTAAGGTGAATTTCAGCTCTAATGCTTATTACCTTTTGAGGTATTTGCACTGAGAAATAAAGTGTTTTTTCTGGATTTTCCTCTGGAATAGTTTCCTATTAATAAAAAGAAATCATAGGGTCAGCTAGTCAAGGCCAAAGAGGCACCCAGAATCTAGAGAAGGGAAAGCAGAGATGGGAGGAGGGGCAAGAAGGAAGAGAAGTTCTGGACCAGGAATGGGGAAAAAAAGAAGCTCTTATTGGTGAGTGCTATTATAATTATGAATAACTTCTTTTCAAGAAGTAATTGCCTGATTTTTAAACTCTGTTGTATTTAAATAAATTTAAAAATGTATGAGATATGTGGTTTATCTCTATGATGGAATACTACATGGCAATAAGAAAGAATGAAATCTGGCCATGTGTAGCAACATGGATGGACCTTGAGGGTGTTATGCGGAGTGAAATAAGTCAGGCAGAGAAGGACAAATACCATATGTTTGCAAGTATAGGAGGATTAGGAGGAACTTAACGGAGGACCATGGGGGAGAAGAAGGGGGGAAATAGTGGGGGAGAGGAAGAGAGGCAAACCATGAGAGACTCTTGAGTGCTGAGAACAAACTGTGGACTAATGGGTGTGGGGGAGAGTGGAAGGGGGCTGATGGGGATGGAGGAAGGCACTTGTGGGGAAGAGCACTGGGTGTTATATGGAAACTAACTTGACAATAAACTATTTGTAAAAAAATAAAAATGTGGAAGATATAGAAGTCCCATGAACTATGAGCAGCCTAAGGTGATTGAAATATAACTGGAAGTAATATTGCTGAAGTTGCAAGTAAATTTTTCCATTAGCCTGAAGAGTCCTTGGAGCAAATATGTGAGGATCACTGATCACAGCTCTTTCCAGTCTGGTAAAAAGCATCCTGAGTCAGTGAAGTGTCTTCCTGAACATCTAGGACAGCCCTGTGGCCTCCTGGGAGTGTGTCTTGAGCAGGAGGATGGTGATCAAGTAATCAACTTTGACATAAACCAGACTGTGTGGAGCCCAGAGAAGGCTCCTCTGTGAGGAAGAAAGGAGCTCTCAGGACACTAACAGCTGCAAAGAGGAAACATCACTCTCCTCACAGAAAAGTTATAGATAAGCATGGGAAGAGGCGAGTTGATCAGGAGACAATGAGGACTGCACTAAAGCTGGGGTTCTGAGGCTCCAAAGTGGTTTTTCTTAAAGTTTATTTATTTATTTTGAGAGAGTGCAAGCAGGGGAGGGGCAGAGATAGAAGGAGAGAGAGAATCTCAAGCAGGATCTGTGCTGTCAGTGCAGAACCCATCATGGAACTCAAACTCACAAACCATGAGATCATGACCTGAGCCGAAATCAAGAGTTAGATGCTTAACTGAATGAACCACGCAAGTGCCCCAAAAGTGTTTTTATTTCTTCACTAAATGAGCCAATATGGAAAACTGTTCTATGGCCTCTATGGAGCTAGCCTATGCAGCTACAGTGATTATTTCCTGAGCTTTTTGAATTTGTCTGCCTAGGTCATGTCTCCAAATTGTCTTATTATTTGGGTGTCTTTAAACTTTATAGTTTTCAAAGAGTTTCCTTTGAACTCAAGATGTATTTGTTCACTTCAGCTTGGTGACCCAAACTTAGAAAGCCTTGAGTGTGGGCCCAGAGCAACCATGGGACCCCGAGACTTCTACTGATGGAAAGGCATCTCTATGACCAGTGTTCTGAAATTATAACTTAGACAACAGGCCAGAATTGCACTTCTCTATCTGCTGTCCTTTGCAAAAGAAATTGGGCCTGTTGAGTGGCCCTTGTGAACGGAAGGGAGGATTCCATGGATTACAGAGTGAGCATTATTGGCTGGGTCAGAACCAGGGACTCCAGAACCAGAGGCCACCAAATCCTGCACAAGACAGAATTCATAAGGACTTGGGGGAGACACAGGCATGTGGGGTTTCAAGGGCTATACATCCTCATATCCATGTTACCCAAGTCCATGCAGAAATCTGAACTAAAGCAAGGAGGGCTTTAGAGAATAAGATCAAGCTACAGAAAAGATGGAAAAGGACTCACATTAACACAAGTGATTGTGTCATAAACTAGGGTCTCTCCAGACGGAGGGTCGTAGTTAGGAATTTCCTGATGAGTGTCCATTCCCTTCTTCTCTCCAATGGACTCTGAAACTGAGGTGGGAAATAATTAGAGCTGACCCTCCTTCCACTCACCACCCCCACCAGCTCATGCCCTGGAAGACCCACTTAAGGTGGCCACCATGCTGAGTCCCTACAACTGAAGGATGTTTCAAGAAATGGGACTCTCAGTGCTATACCCAGGGAAATCCCACAATGAACTGGTTACTCTCATTACTTCACTTCCCAATTTTTGGACCAAGTCAGCCAAAAGGGGAAGTGAAGCAACTCAGAAATGTTTTCAGAGTTCTTTAAAGAGGGAAGAAAGATCTTAACACTTGCAATTTATACACAATTGATGCTTAGGTCCCTCCCCAACACTCCACATGAACAATATCAGTGGGAGCTTGAGAAAACAAATCAGCAGGGTTTAGGGATGCAGAGCCTGGGGTATGGTGTGGAAAGAGACAGAGACAGGAGGATGCTTCTTCTCCAGGAGGAAAGCATCTAGACTGAGGTGTGGTGTAAAGAGAGGTCTCTGGATTTGGTCCAAGAGGTGGGCCAGAACTGGTTTGGGGGCTTTGACAGGAATGGGGATTGGAAGGGCTGACTAGAGAGCGCTGCTCTATGGGACCTCAGAGACAGACACTGTCACCTTCCAGGTCAGGGGAGCAGAGTCAGCACTGTGGGGCGTGTCTTCCTTTGGGAAAAGAGGAGGGGTGGCACTGGAGAGGAAACTGGGAGGACTTTAGTCTTAGGAAGGTAGTTAAGGACTTCAACACTTTCTTACTCCAGAACTAAGGACTGAAGGTTGATTGTGCCTTCCTTGAGGACACAGAGTATGGCCTCTTCATTTCTGTATCCTTAGTGCCTAGTATCAAGCCTGGAACGCATCTCAACATATGTTTGTTGAATAAATGAGGGAGCAAATGCTTGAATGAGGCTGAAGGCAAAAATAATGTATGCTCTACCTTTTCTTCTTTCTCTCCGCATAATCAAAACAATTATCATCAGTGTAAAGGCAATGATCAGCAACAGCACCCATAGGAAGGCCAGGATCATGGATGATTCTGAGTCAGCAGCAGCACCTTTAAAGATAGAGTAGGTGGGGGCACAAGGAAGGAAGAAGAGTCAGCTAGGGAAAATGACTCAACTTTTGGAGAAACTGCCACCTTCCTCCCAGTCAGGTAACCTCCTGGGGGGTCCAGTTTTCATGGGCTGTTCCCATGGGGACCAGAAAGTGAAAAATGTATAGGTCCTGAGACTAGAGATTCCTGGAGAGAGAGGAGAGAGAGTCACCTTCACAAAGCTTCCAGGCAAAGACAGGGTTGGAAGAGTTGCTGCTGATGGGGTTCCTGACCACACAGATGAAGCTCATGTCCCTTTCTCCCAGCCTCCAGGATATGGGGAGAATGGAGCCATTATGGGACTCATTGGATGCCTGCCCCAGGGATTCCCAGCTGTAGGTCACATCCTCTCCTTCCTGGTCCACGAAGCATGTCAAATTGGTCATACAGGTGCCATTCATATTATTCTGCAGACCCATGGTAACTTTGGGTTTTGATAGGTGCTCTGCAAAAGAGAAATGGACAACCAAGGGTGGAAACTATGCCTTTTCTGAATTATTCTTGTAAATCTTGGACTGAATCTCTGGGGTGCTACAGAGTGGAGAGGGAGCAGTATTTCAGAGCAGAATTCTTATTCTTATCTGGGAAAGAGAGCTGTCTAAGTCTGCTTTCTCACAGCTGCCTAAAAGCAACAATATCAATAGAAATAATAATAATAACATAAGGAGAAAGCAGCCGCCATTTTCAAAGCACAGCTATATGGCCAGCCTTGTGCTAGATGCATTTTAGATGTGAGCTAATTTTATATTTTTTAGAGGTTTCTTATTCTTCTGTCCTCAGGCGTTCTTGAAGAGACTTTCACTTTAGTCTCCAGGAGAGAATAGTATGGGAATAATATCTTTGGTCTCCCTCTCTCCCTTATGCTCACTGTTCTCTCTTAGAGGATGAGAAATTTGTTCATTGATGAGATGGTGAGAGTCTGACATCCATCATATATATTTCTCTACTACATTTCTCCACTTTGAATTGTTAAGATTTCTGTTTAGCTCCCCCAGCTAGTTTGACCACCTAACGAATGACCCCCTGTTCTCCTCAATTATGTCTATATGGGGGACAAACCTGGATCAAGGTACATGGCCTACATCTTAAGGGCAAACCTGGAGGCCCATCTCCTGGCATCCCTGATACTGCAGCCCAGTGAGCAAGACAGCTATTATTACAGCTGGTTGAGTAATTGTTTTAGAAGTTCATCTTCCCTGAATGGTTTAGAGCTGGGGGGAAATAGTTCTCCTATCTAGCTTCATCAGAAAATATAAAGCTGATGTTTTTATCTTCCTTCTGATTCTTGTGTCAGTTTCTCAATAGGTTGGAATTGGTAAGGGAGAAGGTGCACTTGTTGTTTATACACAAAAACCTTTCTAAGATAGGTATCACTTTCTTCCCCATTACGGATATGGAAACTAAGTTTCATAGAGCTTAAGTAACCTGGCGAAGGCTATGCAGTTAGTAGTTAGAGAGGCCAGCATTTGATTTGTGTGATCGCTTTGTCCCATATCATCCATTGTCTATACTGCACTGCCTCTTACAGAATCTCTGAACAGGAAGGGGCCTTAGGGGTCAACTACATTTACTTCATCCATGCAAGAGTTCCCTCTTCCACATTCTTGCTAGGAGTTTATCCAGCCTTTACTTGAACAGTTCCAATATCAGAGAATTTACCACTTTATAAAGACAGTCATCCACCTTTGGAGATGATTCTGCTCACCATAGACATGCAGCCTATACTTCTGGATGAAGGGTTCTTTGAGGGAAGAGCTGTATATCACCATACGGTAGTCACCAGAGTCATTCTTATTCAGTTTGCTGAGCTTCAGGGAGTAGTTTCCTTGTGGAAATTTCACTCTTTCCTTGTTATGACTGTGAGTCACTATAACATTGGCTTGTCTGTCTGACGTTTTTGGCTCTATGATGACGAGAGGGGTTGCATTGAATGTCCAGATAATAGTGTCAATCTGAATTCCTGGGAGCTTCAGAGGGAAAGTCACAGACCCACCAAGGTCACCAACCAGCTCATTTGGGGCTCCAGAGGTTGCTAACCCTGCAGAGACAAAGAGAATCATAAAATAAACCTATGTCCCTGACCTTGTCACCAATTATTCATCTGCTTTGGGTCCTGGGAAGGTCCTGAGAAACCCTCTAGAACCAACCCAACCAGCCCCTGGGAAACCCTTTGAAAGCACACTCACACGAAGGCATTGAGGTCAGAACACCTTGACCGAAAGCAGTGACTGCAGGTGAACCAACCCCTTCCCAGAGACCTCAGGCTGCAAAGACCAAGCTCTGAGGTAGTTCAGAAAGCCCAGCTCCATCTGTGACAAGTTCCTGATGGGAGACAAGTGGGGAGTTTACTGTCTCCTTTGAGCCCCCAGAGTGCTCCTGGGAGAGCTGATTTTGCTGCAGTTGCAGAAGCAGCAGCTTGCCTGACAGGGGCGGTGGTTCTCAAGCACAGACCAGGACACTGGGAAGGGAGCTCTAAGTTCCTAATGATAAAAAATATCTGGGAAGTTTGGGGGTGTTTCATCTTCTGTTTTAAGATAGAGTGCATTCAAGATCATCCCTGAGTGAGGTTCTCATTCACTGGAATTTCACTGTCCTTCCTTGAGTGGAAAGGCAAGGGTTGAGTTACTGGATACTCTGCAGTATGCCCAGGCTGACTTGTGATGCTTACCTCCAACTATTAGGAGTCGTAGCAAGGCTTTCCTCCCCCAAGAAAGTTTTGTTTCACTAGGATCTTAGTCCACCTCAGGAAGTATGACTTGTAAACAACCATCACCGGTTATGTGGCTTCAGGAGGAAAACAGTTAAGAATAGCTCTAGAAGGGCGCTTGGGTGGCTTAGTGGGTTAAGTGTCCAACTTCAGCTCAGGTCATGATCTCGCAGTCCATGAGTTCAAGTCCCATGTTGGGCTCTGTGCTGACAGCACAGAGACTGGAGCCTGCTTCAGATTCTGTGTCTCCCTCTCTCTCTGCCCCTTCCCCACTTGCATTCAGTCTCTGTCTCTCTCTCAAAAATAAATAAACATTTAAAAAAATGGCTACAGAAAAAGCTTTCAGAGTGGCTAACTGTGCATTTTCAGTGAGCAAGTATGGGGAATGAGTTTTCTACCTGTTAAGATCTGAGGGACTGACTGCGGAGAGCACAGAGCAGAAAGGATATTTAGGACAGGAGCTTAAAAGTACCTACTGTGATCTCATTTAACTCTTAAAGCAATGCTTAGAGGAAGGATTCATATATATATATATTTATATATATATGAAATTAAGTCACAATGAGTTTAAATGACTTGCTGAAAGTACACAGTCAGTAAGAGGGAAAGCCCATATCAGTACCCACAGGGTCAAGGTCTTATAGGTCACCGTTTACAAATGAGAGAACCAAATGGCAGAGGCTGAGAGAACTTTTTAAAAGATCATGAATAGTGGCAAACCAAAACCAGAACTCAAGTCTTAAAGGTGTTTTCCATAAAAGCACAAAAACCCATTTATCTTCCCTTCTACCTCTTAATGTAATGCGTCATGCTGAAATTTCTAAGAGAAATTTTATTAATTTCATCATGGAAGCACAAAAAGGGAAAAAACAAAGAAAATCTTTTTAAGTCATCTCTATGCCCAGTGTGGGGCTGGAACTCATAACCAGAGATCAAGGATTGCACGCTCTACCTACTGAGCCAGCCAGATGCCCCAAGAAAATCTTTTTCAAATCTATCAAAGCAGCCACGCTATAGATTCCTGACCATTGCATTATGAGGCAACTGCTGGTCTGCATTATGACTTTTTTTTTTTAATTTTTAAAAATGTTTTATTTATTTCTGAGAGAAAGAGAGACGCAGCGTGAGTAGGGGAGGCTCAGAGAGAGAGGGAGATACAGAATCTAAAACAGGCTCCAGGCTCTGAGCTAGCTGTCAGCACAGAGCCCAATGCAGAGCCTCACGAACCCACAAACCACGAGATCATGACCTGAGCTGAAGTCAGACGCTTAACCAACTGAGCCACCCAGGCGCCCCTGTGTTACGACTTTTGTAGGCTGCATGAACTTTGCCATAGTTGGTCCTTCGTCCATAAAAATATTAACAATTATGTTTCATGATTGCATTGGTATAACAATGAATTGTAAGGCCAGCTGGATTCATTATCATATGTTAATTATTATTATACTTATTTCTCTTCTGTTTCTGAAATTAAAACTATTGTAGATATCAGGGACTGTGCCTAAGTGGTTCTTTATGATTGACCAAGCATCCAGGTTCTATTTCTATATGATATCATATTTTTTTAAACTGAAGTATAGTTAACATACAATAATTATATTAGTTTTGGGTGTGCAACATAGTAATTCAACAATTCTATACATTATGCAGTGTTCACTATGATAAGCATAGTCACCACCTGTCATGGTACTAAGTTGTTACAATATTATTGACCCTATTTCCTGTTCTGTACTTTTCATCTCTGTGACTTATTTATCTTATAGTACCTCTTAATTCTCTTCACCTGTTTCACTCATCCCCTCAACCTCTCTGGCAATTACCAGTTTGTTTTCTATATTTATGAGTCTGTTTCTGTTTTTTGTTTGTTTTTAATTCCACATATCATTGAAATCATATGGTATTTGTCTTTTTCTGTGTGACTTCTATTACTTAGCATAAACCCCCCTGGGTCCATCCATGTGGTTGCATATGGCAAGATCTCATTCCTTTTCATGGTTTAGTAATTTTCCATCATATATATATCACATCTTCTTTATCTATTCATCTACTGATAGACACTTGGGTTACTTCTATATCTTGGCTATTATAAATAAAATGCTGCAAAAAACCAGGGGCGTATATATCTTTTTGAATTAGTGTCTTCATTTTCTTTGGGTAAATACCCAGTGGTAGAATTACTGGAACATATGATATTTCTAGTTTTAATTTTTGAGGAAACTCCATACTATTTTCTTTTTTTTCCCCATACTATTTTCCACAGTGGGTGCACCATTTACATTTCCACCAACAATGTGCTAGGATTGCCTTTTCTCCATATCCTCACCAACGCTTGTTATTTCTTATCTTTTTTATATTAGCCGTGGGAAGTGATATCTCATTGTGATTGATTTGCATTTCTCTGATGAGCATCTTTGCATGTTTGTTCGTTATCTCTATGTCTTCTTTGGAAAAATGTCTATTCAGGTTCTCTGCTAATTTTTAATTGGATTATTATTATTATTATTTAGCATTGAGTGTTACCATAGTATTTTCTACTACCGTGGCACTGATGTAACTCATCCCTCTTCTAGTAAAAGGCAAATTCCTGTACTAGTCTATCCAGATATTGAAAATTGCTTCACTACTTTTTCCATAGTCTCTGTTAAAACTCAACTATGTTAGCAGCGTTCCCAATATAGCTACTATGTATTAGAATTGAATCTGTGCCCAATCTTTACTCTAAAGATTATGCCTAATACCTAAAGTAATCCTGAAAACTTGGAATTGTGATCCCTTTATGCAGGGACCAGCAACCTATTATCCATGGGCCAAATATAGCCTGCTGCTTGTTTTGGTAAATAAAGTTTAAATTTAACACAGCCATATTCTTTTGCTTACATATTGTCTCTTGCTGATTTTCCATTACAAAGCCTGAGTCTAGTAGTTGCAATAGAGATTATCTCATCTGAAAAGCCTAAAATATTGACTAGCTGACCCTTTACAGCAAAAGTTTGTTAACTCCTGATTTGATGAGAAACCTGAGGTTAAAACAAAAACAAAAACAAAAACAAAAAACCTAAGTAATTTGTCCAAAGGCACAAAGCTAGTAGGTGATGATTTGAAGATTTAACCCAATGCCATCCCATTGGTTTAGTTTGAAGGTCCTGGGGCATTTGTGCCAGCCCCTAGGAGGGCTCAGATGTCAACTCTGAAGACTTTGAGCCTCACAGAATCCTAGTTTCCCCTTCACGTCCTTTGGTGAACTTTCCTTAAGCTCAAGGTGATCTGCTGGTGCCCCAGAGTAAGGGAATCTGATGTTACTAAATGTTGACCTGGTCCCTTGATCACAGTTTTGGGATCTTAACCAACTTTGGGTTTTTGTTTTTTTGTTTTGTTTTGTTTGGTTAATTTATGTCCAAAAGTACTGACATCTTCCCCTGGGTAAATGCCTTTTTAGGGGCTGATTCCTGTTTTGAAATACTTCTGCCTCCTTGTCCCCATAATTTATCAGTCAGTGAATATAGATTTTGGATCCATCAAGCCTTTATTAAATCATTATGTTAAATAATCTGATTTTTCAAAGAGTTGCTCCCCTGCATCTCTGCTACTGAAGTAGGATGTTTTCCAGTGGCTTAACCATCTCAATGGGTGTCTAAATAGTCCCAGTACATGGTACAAAGTCCACTTCATTTTCAATTTTTGACTGATCAACTAATGTTTGTGTCCTTTTACTTCAACAATGCAGTGAATATTTTGCAGTCAAATGAAGATTGGGTATCACCTGGCCCCAATTAGGTGCAATCCTGGATTTAGGGCACCTTTAAGTAATATCATTTTTACACGAAGTTTGGAGGAGATCTGTAACTTGGGGAGGTTGCAAAAATGCAAGGATGTGGCTTTAGTGCCTGTGTGCACACATTTAAGCCACGCACAATTATTCTTCTCACTTCTTCACACATATGCTTCTATGTTTTTAGGTTGAATGTCAAGAGATGCAAATTCTGTATGGTGATATAAAAAAAAAATGCCTCCAAATTCATTGCTCCTTGTGAGGAAGAAATTGGCATATGTGCTGCCAAGGCAAGCACTGGATGAAATTGGAAGATGACACAACGCAAATTGCCAACAGGAGCCTTGAGAGAGCTTATCTTTCTACCTTAATTGTATCTTCAGAATGAAAAGAGGGGTCACAAAAGAAGAAAGTAGCTCCATGTCATTCCCCAAAGGTGAGTTCAGAGGATAGGGGGCCAGGTTGGCGAGTCCTAATCAGTTTTATTTCTTCTTCTGTGGAAAGACTTGCCCAGAGTTTCACAACTCAGTTTTACAGAGTTGGTGGGGGAAAAGGGATCCAG